TGCCAAGCAAGGCTAAGAGATGTGACAGATGACAGTGAAGGCTCTGGGGTCAGGCTGATCAGGGTGGTCATCCGTGCCTGACACTGTGTAGCCTTGGGCAAGTCAGTTCCCCTCTCTGGGCCTCCCTTTCCTTGTTGGTCAAATAGGCCGGCTGCTACTGGTGCACTGCACCCGGAGTAGCTGTGAGTACCACCGGGGTCACAGAGTGAGGAGCCCAGGCACCGGTGGAAAATGATGGTGTCTGGTATTATTACTTCAGCATTTTCTCATGGAATTCAGGATCCTGGCAGGTTTCTGGCTTTCACAGTGGAAACGTCCAGTACAGCCCGGCTTTTAAAAGCCTTGGCCTGGACCATAGGAGGTTTGGCGTCCCCCACAGGCCTGGCCTCAAATCTGCAGCGAGCTCAGCCAGGTCCTTTCTCTCCCGGCTGTAGTGAGGCCCTCTCAGGCCCCCTCTGGCTTTCCAGGTCTGGGAGTCCACAGTTGCAAACTGTGGATCCAGACAGAGACACCTAGAGGCAGGCTGTGCCCACGGCACCACACTCAGTCCTGGTAACCGGCAATTAAGTGGTACAGCCTGGTTTTCGCACGGCCTGTCCATCCCCCACCAGCGCTAAAGCTTCAGAGAAAAACACCTGGCTGAGCTGAACAGCACTGACATTCATTCACTCATCCAGTGATGCTTCCAGAGCGCCCACTATGTGCCAGGCACCTGCTAGATGCTTTACGAAAGTAGTCCTGATTTTACAGACGAGCAAATCAAAACAGAATAAAACAAAATGGCAAGAGAGGCTAGCATGTATTGAGCACTGATGACACACTAGGCACACTTCAAATGTCACACTCACACAAATCGACTTAGTCCCTTGTAATAGGGCTACTAACATCCCTAATTCACAGATCAGAAAACTGAGGCCCAAAGAAGGTGAGTAAGTTGTCCAGGTGGGGGGCGCGGCTGGGACTGACACCAGGGGCCTCAGTACTGTCTCAGCAGCTCACTAAGGCCACAAAAGCAGGTCTGAGTTAAACATACCATGTGTGTGGTCACCGAACAAGAAGGAAGTAATAAGCGTCCTCCTAGAGGAGCAGATAAAATCCTGGAGAGAGTTGAGAGAAGGAAGAAAGCCCCAGATTAGGAGGTGCATAGATGAAGGATGGGTAGGAGATACAGGGAAGGGCATTTCTGATGGCAGGAACAGTATGGCAAAGGTACAGACAAGAGTTCAGCCAAACTGGGTTAGACCACGTGTCAATGACATATGAATCAAACACCTCTAGTTCACATGCTTGGACACAGAGCTCACACGGTCCACCTCGGATTCTCCTATGAGGGTCTCCTGGGACTTTGGGGTGCTGCTGCACAGAGCAGCCAGCAAGACTAGAGTGTGCAAGGAGGGGATCCCCCCACCCTGTGGCATTGCCCTGGATCTGCTGTTGGGAAACATGTGGCCTTGGCCTGTCAGTGAGGAGCTCAAGCCTGGCTGCTGCTTTTTGTTTTTTCAAGGAAAACTTGGATCAAGAGCGCAACAGTTTTGAGCTGGGGAGGGATGCGATGAGAGCCGTGTTGACAGGCCAGAAATCTGAGCACATTTAAGAAGAGTGGTGGGGGGAACCTCTGTCAGTCCAAGACTACAAATAACAAAATAACCTGTCGCACAGAGCCGTTGGAAACAGCGAGCAAGTGCGTGTGGGATCCGAACAACACTTTTAGACTCCCTTCCTCTCGCACACCCCCTCTCCATCTGTCGCAAAGGGCACCGGGAAGATGCAGGGAGGAACATTCCAGCTCTGGGGGCTCCAGAGCTCAGCATCCCAGATCAGGGGGCTCTTGCAGGAGCCACATCATGCCCATGTGTTATCATCTGTGAGGCCAAGGGGCTGCCAGCGTTCCACACTCAGCGAGTTCTCAGAGACACACCTGTGACTCAGTCAAAAACTTCTGTTCAGAGAAGGAACCTGTCCACAATTCTCGGCCTAAGCCAGGCTGGTGTGGGGGCGGGGTCCTCTCCCCCTCCAATGTGGACTAAGTAATCCTGGTTTAGTCATTTATTTCTCTCATCACAAGTCACCCAGCAGGAAGGGCTGCATCCAGAATCCTGGCTCCCTCACCACTTACTCCTGGGATGAGTTACTTTCCCAGCTTGGGACTTGATTTTCCTCATCTGTAAGATGGAGCTCCGAGTCAACTTGTGCATCGTTGATGAGTGAACTGACGTAGACAAAAGGCCAGGGCCTGGACAGCAGCAGGCTATTTAATCAACATTGGTCCCCTCCCTCTCTGAGCACATAGTTCACATGAGGACTTCACATGTGCCGAGTGAGTGCAAGCTAAGGAATGAATCACAAAGCCTCCACAGGGTTGGTAACGGATAATTAAGGGCTAGAAAGTACCCAGAGAACACCGCAGCTTTAAAGGACCTCCTGACAGCCTGGGCATGTCCCAGTCAAATCCCCACCCCTTTCTTTTCTTATGAAAAGAGGAAGTGAGAGAAGCTTTACCACTTAGGAAAGTACAGTGTAGGCACCAGCATACCACCCGACACTCAAGGGTCACAGGGTCCCGCTGCCCCTCAAAGCCAGAACCCTAACCTGGCTTGGCCTCCTTCAATCTAGAGAAAGTTTGTCTATGTGGAGGTGACCCTGAGATGCCAAGGCCCCAGGTGGGGCCAGGTGAGAATTCCACAGGGTCAGGCCCTGCAGCCCTGGAATCAGGCTCCCTCAGTGAAGTGACGTCAGGAAACAGACGGCTCCAACACCAGGCAGTGACTTCACCGGAATCTTTTTAGAATTTCCCTTTGGTGGCATTTGTGCCAACTACAATCTTTAGAAACTTCTTTCCCTGCCTCCCCTAACCAAGACAATCCATGTGACCAGTCCCCCCAACAGGGATCACGTAAAACCACAGCAATCACGTCACACCTCCCAGGATGACAGCTCTGCCTGAGATAAGCGTGACACCAGCGGTCTTTCAACCCAAAGTCGCCTTCCTAAGCCTGACATTTGAGTTTCTCACTTGAACAAATCCATTTTCTTAGAAAATTGTACAACTGCCTTCTACGTTCCTGCCCATCTCTCCCATCTCTCTATTGCTTTGTCATAAGTTTCAGGCCCCAACACGAGACAGGCAAGGCCCTGAAGCCCCATCCTCCAGCCAAACCAGGCAGTCTATGCTCAGGGGGCAGTGTGACCAGGACCCCAGAGAACTCAGAGTAAAGGATGGCAGGCTAGAGCTCTAAGGGCCAAACTGACTCCTTCCTTGCCACTGTCACCAAGAAATTCACTCCACCCCCTGAGATTTATTTATTTCAAAGTTAATCTGGGCCCCTCCGCGGTTCCCACTTTTTCAGACTATTGATGCTGAATGGTTGGAACGGAAGTTTTATGGCCCAATCTTTACCATTTTATAGATTGTTTTTATAGGCAAAGGGGGGAAGATGTGCTCACAGGAAAGGTGTTGGCGTTCCCAGCCAGCACCTGGGAAGGGCAGGCTGGCCATCTGAACACTTGTTAGTCAGTGCCACCGCTCATTTGCCAGGGACTGAACCACAGGGTCCTGGTCAGATAAGGGTCTGGAATAGACATTTAGAAATTAACATAGGCCCAGTTCCCTGCTTCAGGAAAACGAAGCACTTAGGAGAGATGCTTGTGTGTTTCCAGGCCAGGGAGGGTGGCCGGGCAGGAACTGGGACTTTCACAGGGCACAAATGGCTGGCTCAGACAGATCAGAGCCCCTTGCGGGAAAGATAGGAAATTTATCAGTGCTTCCATCTGCCCAGCAAGGACCCAATTTTATCTGAAAAGCACTGGGAGGTAGGGAGGGGTGGGAGGGCACCTTGTGGGTTCTTGGGGTTCAGGAAACTGCAGGGCTACCCCCACTTTTCCTTCCACCCACTCAGCTGGGTCTCTCTTCCTCACTGCTATCAGATGGCTACCAGTCTCCAGGCAAAAGCAGGGGTCAGACACAGAGCCCATCTTTACCTCACTGCTGAAATTGGGGGTGCGGGGACCCCTCTGCCAATAACACCTTCAAGAGGCCACCAAAGAAGATCCCCATTCTTCACTCCCTCCCCAGTTCCTTGAACGCTGCCTTTTCTCTGCTCCCCTTTTTTTAAAAGGGGTTTTGCAAACCCCTTAAGAAAACAGGACTCCTGAATGGTGACCTCACCCCTTGGCGAATCACAGGAGCCTTCAGAGCCCGCCTGCCTGTCTGCCAGAACAGCCAGGTGTTTGATGTAGGCCAACAAAAAGACATGCTCAGAGCCACAGGTAACAGCCCGCAGAACACCTGAACTGCAGGGAGCTCAGAAGCCTGAGAAGGCAGGAGAAAAGCGGGAGCCGGTGAGGGACAGACAGTGAGGAGGAGAACATCCAGGGACAGGCTGTGCCACCACAGGACAATCTGCAGCGTCTTCCCCAAGGATCTGTTGATAGAGCAGCTCACCAGGCCTCCCTCTCTCCCTCTCCCCACACACTAACACAGCTTGTCTCGAAAACCAGAGGAACCGCTGGCTCACTCTTCCCTAATTGCAACAGCCTGTTTCATTCCAGGAAGCACCAGGGACTTCTGCCCCCCACCCCCTCTCTCAGACCCTTGAAGTCAAACCTGTGGAAAACGTAAGTGTAGGGAGAGACAGGGAAGCCAAGATGCCCAGCTCTGAGGTTCTGAAAGCCACCAGCCTGCCTCCCCCACCCCTAGACTGGGCAGGGGTGAGCCAACTCATCTCTATGTCCAGGTGCCCAGCGCAGGGCCACAAAATCACAGTGCACAGAGAAAGACCCTCTTAGGAAGAGTTCTATCCTGGATTCTAGCCTTGGCTGTGTGACCTTGGGCAAGTGACTGGCCCTCTCTGGGCCTCAGTTTCTGCATCTGTAACCCTGGTTACAGGCATCTATTCCCCCCTAGGGCTGCTCGGCATAAGATGAGCGGCTCCCAGTGGCAGTCTGCGAGGCCTGAGCCCACAGTTCGAGAAAGGCAGCGATGGGGAGGAACGGGTCCTTACCTGACCAGGCGCAGGACGAGGCGAGCAGCAGGCAGAGCAGCGGCCCGAGGCGGCCGGGGGCCGGGCCGGGGGGCTCCATGGGCCGCGGCTGCGGAGCGAGGAGGGAGAGCGGCGGTGAGTGCGCGCTCGGGCGGGCGGGCGCGGGCTGGAGCGGGGAAATGACTAAGGCCCCCTCCCCCTCCGGGCCTCCCCCCCTCCCCGCCCTGATCGGCGCCCGGAGCCCGAGCAGCAGCCGCCGCCGCCGCCGCGGGGCTCGGAGACTCCCCCGCCCCCCAGGAGGGATCGAGAGACGGAGACGGGGAGAGCCCCCGAGCGCGCGAGAAACGCAGCCAGGGGCGGCCGGAGAGGCGGCGGGAGAGGGAAACAGACCCAAGGGAGCCAGGCAGAGAGCCAGAGACACAGGGAGGCGAGCGAGGGGAGAGCGAGGGAAAGAGAGAGAGAGAGAGGGAAAGAGGGAGAGAGAGCGCGCGAGCGAGAGAGGGAGAGAGAGAGAGAGAGAGAGAGAGAGAGAGAGAGAGCGAGGGAGAGCGAGCGCGAGAGGAGTGCGCTGGGCGGCGCGCGGAGCGCCAGGCAGCGCGGGAGAGGACCGCGAGGGCAGGGCGAGGGCAGCGCGGCCGGCCGGGCCCGAGCGCCAGCCGCCCCCGCCGCTGCCCACCTGCCCGCCCGGCTCCGCGTCGTTCGCCCGGCCGCGGTCCCCGCTGCGCCCGCCCCCACCCCGGCGCTCGGCCCCCCCCGTCCGCCCTCCTCCTTCCCGCCTTCCCTCCGCCCGCCCGGGAGGCTGCGGGGCCCCGGCCGCCCGCGCGCCCGCCAGCTGCGCCCCGGGAGGCGGCCCGCGAACCTCCGCCACCAGCGTCGCCCGCCCGGGCTCGGGACCGCGCGAGCCCCGCGCCGACCGCGCCGTCCCCCACCCCGCCCGCCCGCTGGCGGCCAGCGCGGACCTGCGTAGCTGGGAGGCTGCCTGGCACTGGAAGCGCCGCCCGGGCCGCCCCGAGGCCCGGCCCGCTCCACTTTGCGCAAACTTGTTTTTCTAAGGTCAGCGCCGCCAGCTGCCTTACATCGTCCTCTTAAGGTGGACTGGGGAAGTTGCTGCCGACCTGCCCTGGCCTCGGCCTCCCGCCCGGCTGCTGGCTCCAGCTTCCCGGGGCGCTGAGGCTGGAGATGGGCGGACGGCGCGGCACCGGGATGGAGGGGCGGGGACGTTTGCGTTTTGCCCCTCCCAAGTGGCCCTGTCCCTGGGTCCCAAAGCTGGAGGTCCTCCTCGGGGTGGGTGGGTGGGTAGGGGCCCAAGTGGCCAAGTGTTTCAGCGCTGGGCCGAGGTGAAGCAAAATCAGGAAGTGAATGCAGGGGGAAGGGGAGAGGAAGGAGAGAGCGATGGCACAAAAATAGCGTGTGTGTAGGAAGGACTTCAGTGCCGCCTGGAAAAGAGGCACTGGGGGAGAGGAGCAGAGCGGGAAGGGCTGTGCAGGGAAAGAAGAGGGGAAGGGGCGGCTTCCGGGAGGGTGAGGTGTCGCTCTATCACCTGGGCAGATCGGGGTGGGGAAGGCCCAGATAGGGGTGTGGGGGAGAGAGTCGCCAACCTCCCCCAATATGACAGGCAGTGAGGAAGATGAGCGAGAAGAGGAAAGCTGGGGGAAGAGGCCTGGAGTCCCAGAGGATGGAGCCTCCCTGTCTGTCTGTCTCTTTTCCTTGAGGAAACAGAGTGCCCTGGTCATCTGGCAGAAGGCTCCACTAGCAGGAAGGGGAGTTCAAGACCCTCTACTAATTGGAGAGTTTCTGAGTTGAAAGTAAGCTCAGAGATAACCAATCCTGCCATCACAGAATGGCAGTTGCAGTAAGGGACATAATGAAGCAAAATGAGAAAAGCCCCCTCCTGTAAGTGGAGGAGTTGAGGCCAGAGAGGGAGGATGCTTGCTTCAGGCCACACAGCAAGGCCTGGGGTAGACCTTTGTACAGTGACACTCCTTCCTCCTCAAGGCTCCAAGTCAAATGCCTGGTTCTGCTTTTCTGCCAAAACAGAGAGGCAGACAAGGGTGTGGCAGTTGTAAGCAGGGACCAGCCTTTCCAATTCATATCCATCTCCCAAGTCTTCTGAGGTTTGTAGACTTGGAAAAAACACCATGTTGTTTTTGTGTCTCAGCTTCCTTATCCAAAGTGAGCCGATGTGAGTACCAACCTGAAAGGCCAATGTGAGGGTTAGATGGATTAATATTTGCACTGCATTTTATTTATTTATTTGCAGTATTGGGGTTTGAACTCAGTGCCTCATGCTTGCTAGGCAGGCACTCTACCACTTGAGCCACTCCACCAGTCCTTTTTAAGTTGGGTGTTTTCGAGGTAGAGTCTCGAAAACTATTTGTCAGAACTGGCTTTGAACGGCAGTCCTCCTGATCTCTGCCTCCTGAGTAGCTAGGATTACACTTCCCGGCTATACACTGCGTTTCAAAAAGAGCCTAGCATGGACAGGTGCAAAGACAATGTCTGATAACTAAGTATTGGAAGTGCCAGGGAATTTCCTTCTTTAGGGTATGGGAGATCACAACAGGTCACTATCCTAGAGAAAGAAGTGGGCAAGTAGAGAGAATCAATGAACACAGAAGATCAGCTTAGAGAGTGGGAGGAAGGGGTGTGCCCATTTTGATAAGGGCAGCAGGTAGCATGTCCTTCCTAAGAAGCAGGAGACTGGGTCACAACAAGGGAAAGCAAAGCAAAGACCTGGGGGCAAAGGTGAAGATGGCACAGGAAGAGGCAGCAACACAGACAAGGGTCCTGAGGCCAGCTGGGCTGGAGGGTGGTCCAGCTGGATGGCCTTGAAGGGCAGGCAAAGAGCCTGTGTTTATTCTGCAAATGGGAGCCACTGGAGGGGTTCAGGCAGGGAAGCGCCATGTTCTGATTTATGTGTTCAAAAGGCCACTCCACCTCCAGTGAAAGCGGGCTGGGGGAGAGGAGCAGGGAATGGGGGTATCAGGGAGGAAGCACCAATGGTGGAACCATCCTAGTATCTGAGGTGGGCTGCAGCCAGAGTCTCCCACTCTTCAGCCTTCCCACATCTGGCAGGACTATCCAGGTGGCCAGTGAGGCTCCTGGAAAAAATCTGTCTCCAGAGTCCATCTAGGGTCGGGGTGGGGGCCAGGACCTACTACTGAGGTCAGAGGCAGCATCCCGCCCTGGCTTCGGAGGTTCTGCTGCGCCTGGCTTCCCAGGGCACACAGACCTGCCGGGACTAGGAACCTGGGGATTAGAAGGATAATGGTCGAGCCACCTGCTATTTATATACAGCACCTTTGGCAAAGGCGCTCAGCAGCACTTCCACACACGGGCCCTTTTCATCCTCACCTCTGCTCTAGGCTGGGCGACTTGTCCTCACTCCGGATAAAGAAGCTGAGAAGCCTACTGTGGAGACCAATGGGCAGATGGGTAGAGTGAAGGGGCCAGGTACAGCTTGCCTGAGGTCACAGAGACAGATTATGGAGGATAACTGATGTGATCAGCCACTCCTGTAGCAGACAGAAGAGGTTGCCCTGGGTTCAAATCTAACTGACTTCATACATTTATCATTCATTCCTGCACTTACCCATATTCACTAAGCATCAACTATGTACTGGTCACTGTGCTGGGCAGTGGGGATGCAGCAGTTGGGAAAAAAAAAAAAAGACCAAAGTCCCTATCCACAAAAAGCTGACAGCTGACATTCTTGAAGGGAAACAGACAAACCAATAGGCAAAGTATTTAGGCTGTCAGATGGGGCAGGTACTCCAGGGAAGGGGTCAGGGTGCCGATGTTGATGAGAGGGTTGGATGCAGTTTGGGAAAGGCAGCATGGGAAGGTGGGGGGATGGTTTTACTGGGGAGAGTAGGGGTGAAATGAGAAGCCAGAGGAGGCTCCACCCCTGCCCTGGCCCTGACTCTTCTCTTCCTCCTGTTCCTCACTCTGCAGCCCGAGGGATCCTTTCCTATAGGGCAGATCAGATCCCTTCCCCGATGTCCAGGATCTGAAGGAGCGCCAGGAGGGGAGGATCAGGGGCCCCATAGCCAAGACTTGTCCAAGTTCACCTACACAACTTGGGTAAAGCCTCAGTCTTGTGAAGCAGGAATAACAAGGATGACCCTAATCCAAGGGGTCACTAGTGGTCTGGATATGAAAGCAACCATGGTAGAAGTATCTGGGGTTTGGCCTCTGCAGGATGGACAAAGGCGCCCTGGTGGGCACCAGGCCATTCCATCATCTCATTGAAGCCCCAACAACTCCACTGGGTTCCCAGAGGCAAGGAATGAGGGCAGAGGCAGAAAGCGACTTGACTAGGGCCACTCTGCCAGGGCATGCTGGGACCTGGCTCTGCCTGGCACAGCCTTGCCCACGCTTGGCTCCTGGCTGCCTGTAACCCTGGGCCGGTGTCAGCAGGCAAGCCCGCCAGGCTGCCTTTGTGTGGGGCCTGTCAGGAGGCTGGAGCTGCCAACGACCTATTTTTCTGGGCAAGAAGAGCCATTTGGAGTTAGAGGCTTCAGCTGTGGAGCCAGAACAATAAAAATAAAAACATCTCGGACTCCAGGGAAGCCAGGACCAGGGACCGACTGTCCTGGAGGGAAGCTGCTGACCAGGCCAAGGATGGGAAACCAAGGCAGTTAAGAGCCCTGCGTGTTCTGTGACCCTGTGGGGGGTCATCTCCAAGGCTCACAACATACATCAGCCCCTTTCTGGGAGTAACTGCTGTCATTCCCATTTTATAACTGTGGAACCCAAGGCTCAGAGATATGGAGTGACTTGCCTAGGACACACAGCTAATGAACTAGTCAGGATTTGAACTCAGTTCCCCCTAAAATAATAATAGTTTCATCTGGTCAGCATCTGCTATATTTTCCAGGCTCATTCTTGTGACATATTCATACCCCACTTGGGAGGGGTACAGGCCTCTGCCCACAAGTCACCTCCTCAGGGAGGAGCCCCACCCAAGCATCCCTGCTGATAGGTCAGACTGTCCATCGCTCTGGATGTTGTCCTCTCCTGGGGGGAAAGGCCCCAATTCAGAGACTGCAGCCAGCACTCCGCTCCAAGGCTGAGGGGCTGTGACAGATCACAGAGCCAGACCCTGAGGGAGCCATGTGGTAATTAGTGCTTTCCTGGTGACGCTAGTGACTAAGCCACTCACAGGCAGGCAGCTCTAGCCTGCTGGAGCTCATCAGGGGTGGGACAGCGCTGTCAGGCCCTAAACACTGTTCTTGGTCTCTGGGGATCTGCTGTACCCAGAGCTGAGCCCAGCTGCACTGAGAGTCTTCCCCCACAGCTCTGGGGGGAGTTCCCTGCAGAGTGGTAGGTAGTAACTGAGAGCCTATTGTATCTGTGTGCATCAAGAGACCTGGGTTCAAGGGCAGACTCTGCCTAATAAGAGCACTAATCCATGGCTAACCCAAGGAGCCCATGCTAAGCCCCAGCCCTGAAGATTTCAGCAGATTCTCTCATGACTTGTCGGTGCAACTCTCTAATGTGGACACAAGTCTTATCCCCGTTTCACAGATGAGAAAACGGAGGCAGAGGATGTAAGTGGCTTGTCCAAGAGCACACAGCTTGGGAGCTGCAGAGGCAGGCTTTGAATCAGGAGCATCACTCCCACTCCTGCTCCTCACCACTGCACATTCTGACTTCTACTGTGCTGTGAACTTGGGGCACCCACTCTGCCCTCCGCAGGCCTCCATCACCACTGAGGGACTGGCTTGATGACCTTCAGGGCCTCCTCCGGTGTCCAGCACCAGGCCTGCTGGTAGGTCAGGGCACACCAGGATCTGGTGAATGAAACAGCGAATGGGCACTTGACTCTTAACTCCTTCCCATTCAAATGGGACCACACAGCTAAAGGGAGACTGAGAGAGGCACATTATTTCCGTACCAGCTGTG